ATTAGTGAAGAGGTGGCACAGAATTCAAAGTTAACATTTTCCCAATGATGTGAACAGCATTTTATATATAAAATGACATCTATCTAGTGAATGGTCACATCTTTATTGGTTTTAAAATAGAACATGTGTAGTTTGGCATTATATCTCTTCAAAATTTTAAAAGTTACCATTTAAGGTATGGCTTTTGGGACATCAGAAATAAACTAGCATTCTGAAGAATGAACTCAAATTTTAAGGTGCTAATTATTTAGACCACAAACAAGGCAGATCATTGGGATGATTTGTGTTTCAATTTTAAATTCGTTGACAACAGAAACAAAAAGGAATATAAAAGTAAGATACACATTACACTAAGTTGCTTTTGGAATAAAAAGTACAGATCAACACTGAATGTGAAGAAATTTTACTGCAATAGTTTTCAAAGTGCAAAGATGTTCAAAAATATATTGGCACATTCATAATACCTGTCTCAAAGTAATAATGCATGATATACATGGATATAAACAAATTGAACACAAGGCAGCATCTCTCCTTCCTGGCATCAGCATCTGCTGTCTAATGGGTCGAGACAAAATACTGTGCCTTCAAGAGTTAGTCTCATTTTGAACCCCTCCTGCATTTCATCTAATTTTGATTGAATATCTGGAGGGAAATCCCCTGCTCCACAGCTAAATGGGTCAAAAGGTTCCGCTCCAAACAGGTCCCGTTTCATTTCTGTAGATCTACTAGGTACTGGGGGTGGCTGTGTGCCGTTGCGAGTAGCTACTGAAGACTGGTCTGCAACTGGAGAAAATAGAATCATATCAAAGATGTCCTTGGAGGGTGACTTGGATGCCACATTGCCTGCTGGAGATGTTGATACTTGAATAATTCTTAACTGGTTTTCCAAACCTTCTACTTTATTTTTAAGTTCCATATTTTCTGTTTCTAGGTTTTGGATTCTTTTTTGTAGCCCTGCAATCTGCTTTCTTGTTTCAACATCTTTTTCTCCAGATTCTAGAAATTTCCTGTATGCCAGGTCAAATGCTTGGCCAATGGTTAAAGTTATCTCTTCAGCACACTTTTCACTGTTAAATACATAGTACAAATGTTTGTTTGACTCGGAATCTTTGCATATGAAACTGAATATCCTCTTGTCGGTTTTATCATCTGCACAAAATGATATTCTATGAAACTGGCAATTGTGCTGGACTTCCTTTGTTTTAGGTTCTAGGATTTTTACTCCATAAATTGATATTTGCAATTCAACTTTAGGAATTTTCTGGCCTTCAGGTTTCTTGATGTGTCTTGCAAACTTTAGCTTCCGCACCGCATCTCGCACAACTTCCGTCCCCTTTGCCTGCTCCACTTCTGTACTGCAAAGAAACTTGGTGTTATAGGGAATGTAATGTTTTAATAAAGCTTCAGGCGTATGCACCCATGTTTTGTCTTTCTTCCTGCTAAATGCACGGTTCATGATGAGAATCTGCCAAGTATATGTTCAGTTTAGTCACACTTTATATCCTGAATATGCCCAAATACAGCTTACTGAATCCACCCGGACAACTACACAGCTTCAATCATGGGGTTGTCATCAGAACTCTCCATCACTTTCTCCCCTTGGCTTGCTATTTCCAGCTGCAGCGTCCAGCTTCCTGTTCCAGCCCATCCAGCCCCATAAACACATTCCAAGAAAAACAGCCCGCCCAGGGCTCCACCCGCACTCAGGGAAGTCAGCGATGCACACTTGGAACCTAGGTGGCGGCGACCGGGCCAAGAGGGCTGGAGACCACACACAGCGGCGCTGATGCAGGGGTCCCGAGTCTCCGCGCCCCCCTTGTCTCTTCATATTGCTGGTGGTTTCTCTTGCTGTGCAGAAGCTTTTTAACAAGAAGAAATCCCACTTGCTGATTGTTTGTGCTAGTTCACGGACAACTGAGGTTTTGGTCATAAAATCTTTTCCTACACCAATGTCTTCAAGAGTTCTACCTAACCTCTGTTCAGGCCGAATTAGCGTTTCTATTTTAATATTTAGATCTTTAATCCATTTTGATTTTAGTTTAGTGCATGGTGAGAGATATGGGTCTAGTTTTAATCTTGACAAGTTGAAACCCAATTTTTCCAGCACCATTTATTAAAGAGGCTATCTTTTCTCCAGTGAGGGTGACTCCTTTAGGGAAGATGAGATGGCTGACTGTATCTGGAGTTGTTTCGGCACCTTCTAATCTGTTGCACTGGTCATCAGGTCTGTTTCTTTGCCAGTACCATGAT